AATCCATGAAGTATCGCGTTCACCACTATTTCTTTTCTGCGCCCGAATCTTTCTTCCGCCATCCCATTTTCCCACATGCACCTGGTGCAATACCCAGCCAGGTTCATTTCACCATTTTCCCTTCCTCCGCGCACCTATTCTCTTTATTAACCCACTATTCTACTAATCCCTTACTAGAACTAACTTCACAGTCCACCTCGCCTACACCGATAACCCCCACCCATCACCTTTCCTTGCTTATTTCTGTTAGGAACGGTCGAGCTTGACTGACTCTTCTTCTCACTTTCGCCCCCTCCCCACCATCGCTCTTTTACCCGTCTCAGTCTCGCAATAGACCCGGGCGCGGATCGCGTCTGGGTGCATTCACCTTTTCTCTTCGCTGTTCGTGCTTAGTTCATTGTTGCTCTCCCTTCAATCGGCCCCTGCCTTGGCCCCCGTCCAGGTTCAGCCTCTCTCTTCGTGGCCTCACCTTAGTGTCCCGTCGCTCCTCCGCCTTTGCCCGCGATACTCCATACTGCAGTGGCCAGCCCGACAACCGCAGCGCTCCGCTATCCGTCTCTCTACCTCGCCTTCCCTGGCCTAGCGCTCGTCACCCCGGTCCCCGGATGCTGCGCAATTCGACGAAAACTTGGGTGTCAGAAACAGGAAACGTCTGGTCGTCGGCCCTTTTCCTGATTTATTCGCGTCACCCTGGGCGCGAGCCATGCTACTTCTCTGTATCGCTCCAATTCTGACGGATGTCCCGAGGGTCCTGCCCGGGGTAATGCCCCGCGGCGGCACCAAATGGCCGCTCGGCCTATTGCACGGGGAGGGTGGGGCGAACACCGTCCCCCTAGCCACTCCGCACGCACCCCGCTGGTCTGTACGTACCCGGCGCGGTCTGCGTCCGGGTTCGTTCCGGACCCTTGCGCACCATCCTTGTTCAGGGGCCATGCTAATCTCCTCGGTATCGTTCCAATTTTAACAGATGTCCCGAAGGACTTTGGCCGGAACAGTGCCCCCACGGAAGTGCATGGGCCACTCACCTTGTGGCTTGACCGTTCGTGGGTGTGCCCACTACGGAAGGCTCTCGGCCATATCCCGAAAGAAAACGGGAGCCAAAAAAAAAGAAAAATACAAAAAATATATATATATATACAAAAATATTTTAAAAAAAACCGTTTTATTACAAGATCTAAAACGGGAACTGGGAGCTACTGGCACCTCGCCAGTCCCTTAGGTCGGGTCCGTCACTACGCATGTCACCAAAACTGAGGGGGGATAGCCCCGTCGGGCCCTCAATCCCTCGATTTTCTCCTCGATGCTCTGCTGCCACCGCGCCGACGTCTGCCGGCCTCGATCCCCGAACCTCCGTTGTAATAGTCTGATGTCGTAACCTATAGCCCAAGCCTGAGACCAAAACACGCCGAATGTCATATAAGACGGTGCGGCGCGGCGCTTTGGGCCAACAAAAACGGCTGCGCGGCTCTCAGTGCCCACGCCGGCTTGCTTATACCATGCCATATTTGCCCCGCGCGCCATCCTACGACATCCCGCTCACCACACGAAATCACGCCATTATTGTCGATGTCGTCATCGGGGTCGTTCTCCGCACGCGCGCTTGACCTACTAATCAAAAAAAAAAAGGGTATCCTTAATCCCTGCTTAAAAAAATAATAATAATATCACCAACCGAAACGACCGAGGTCCGGGCCGGTTTTACGATAAAATAACAGAAAAGAATCATGCGCGCCTTAAACCTGCGCGCCCACGCACTCGCTATTGCGGTCAACCACCCAGTCAAAGCAATTACTGACGCAGCCGCGCTTAGCGCGGTATACTTAGACTGTAGACCAAAACTATTTTCTGTCACTTGCAAAAACCAGGGCGGATATCCTTGTAAGGGTATTCGCACCGACAGCTTACCGGACCATATTAAGCGACGTCCCCGTCGCTTCGCCAAATCAGAAGACTATAAATCCATCCACACTCCAAATTTTGACGAAAGAGGAGCCAATCCGATTAGCCGACCAACACAGGGTAGAGGCCTCCATCAAACCATGCCTCCATAACTATATGCTGCCAGGTTTCTAACCCGGGCCTCTCACCGTCTAGATATTAGGACACTGACAGCATAAGTTCCAAAGACCTTTCCAATCGTCCTCTCCCTGGTCCTAGACAACCTTCGGCTTTTCGTTGGGTGTCCCTAGTCCAGGCCAAAACTAGGGACGCGGGTTTTAACCGAGACCTTTGAAGGCACTATCGCCCTCTTTCTTAAAAACAATCCCTCACAATCAAATCTTCATAAGCATATACAAATACTTGTTATCCACTCAGCTCTTTCTGCAGTCTAGTACAGAAAGGCTAGGTCTCYATCTTGGCCCACCATAGCCTGGCTGATCGGACCAGGACTACGGCCCACCGCATTGTTATTTAACGGCAGTACCCCTCGTTGGTTACACAACGATAGGTTTGCTCCTGATAAGCATTCAATCAGGATTCCCCCCAAAAAATTATCAATCATCACTATCCCACAGAGTAATTTCACTGGGGTGGGCAGCTCCCCTTAAACTCTTACCCCGCGGTCCAGCAGCCAGGTTGCACCGGCTAGCAGCCATCCAATGGGGTTACGCCCTAGAGGTATTAACTTCTTTTCCGTTAGCTTGGTCTTTCTTCAATATGTTCCAGAACTAGCACAGGTGGTTAGACGGGGCGTCGCAAAACAAAATCACAGGCCCACTGCGCGATACGCAGGGGTCCGAAAGCATTTACCAGCCCTCCTTCAATAGGCATGGCATCCTTCGTACGCTTATAAGCAAAATCACCGCTAAATCCACCAGGTTGTGACCCCTGACTTGATCAGAGCCAGCAACCACCCACCCTGAGACATCTATCGCCCTGTACTCATTGCGACTTTCTCAAACATTTCAAACAAAACGTGGCCCTTTCCGTCAGACTTTATCACCCATCAAACAACTCGTCATGCCATAAATCAATTTACTCACTTCTGAGGATGAGTCTTCCAACCAAAAAAACACTCCCCTTTTCCAACAATCCAAAAGGGACTCTCTTCATAAACAAAACACCCCCTCTTCCAAAAATCGCAAGGGGTCTCGCCATAAAACAATACATTCCCTCTTCCAGAAATCACGAGGGTCTCATCATAAACCAAACACCCCCTCTTCTTAAAGTCACGAGGGGTTTCGTTACATCATAAAACATCCCCCTTTTTCCAAAATCTAAGGGGTCCCATCATGAAACAGAACATCACTGAGAGACCATCTTATGGGTCTTCATCACAACTTAGATAACTTTCACAGACGGACTGCGCTTCCTCCCCTTATACTCTGCCTTATCAGCTGCCGTGGGCAGGTCGCACAAGTATACCGAGAAGTAGACAGTTTTACTTACAATCATATTCACATACCCAAGATACATAAGAGGTTTTTCACACATTGTCCACACAAACTCATCATACATCAGAGTACAACCACACATGTGAGAGAGACAGGTGATCGTCACATATAAGAATGGTCCCTGAAGGAAACCTTATCATAATATACACTCAGGGAGTACAATGTCTTACACAGAAAGTGTCCCCAAATCATAGCTTGCTCAACTCAAGCCATACCAAACCCACACTGACAACTACCCCTAAAATACATGTCAGATCTGTATCTCAAAGGCCAGGGCGTAGGCCACCTAAATATGTACATGCCTCATCTTAACTCACCCTGATCCTCAAGATCCCAACTCAGTAGAAACACTAGAGTTCAGATCTAGACTAACAACAATCATCAAAATGTCTTCTAAGTCTGAGAGGGTACTACTCAGAACCCAAGTTGATACCTCACAAAATGCTCGCTCACTTATATAGACAAAATCGGTCCTACCTCCTCAACTCCTCCTTGTTTTGCCTATATAACTGAGCCCTAAGTCCATCTGCGGACTTCTCTACTATCCTACCCTGTCTATCATACATTTTACCCCTTACCTCTGAGATCTTCCCTGCTGCCTTATCCTCAAGAAACTCGATACAGTCCAAAGCCAGATGCACGTCCCTTTTGCAGTAAAAACATAGTTGATCTACCTTTCTCTTGAACTTCCTCTTCCTGGGCTGAGGAGGTGGCGATCAAAGAGATCCCACCAAGGTACTGACAACCCCCTGTTGCTCTGCTTGAGGAGCTGCGGTACTAGTGACCTCCTGCTGCTCTAGCCCAGGAACCGGTCCACCAGACCCAGATCCAGTAGCCCAATATCCTAGCCTGCCTCTCAAATCCTCTGTCGCTGGGACGTACTCGGGCGTGTCCAACCTCTGAGGCCTCCTCTCGAGTGCCGCCCCTGGCGCTGCCGTGGGCTGCTCCTCAATCTCCTCTGGTTCATACTCAGGTGTGCCCATCCTCTGGAGTCTGCCCTCGATGGCACCCTCCTCCTCAATCCCCATCTCTCTCTCAAGAGCCTCCTCTATCCTCTGCTCAGGTGAAAACAAACTCACCTCCTCCCGCATAGTATGCACCGCCTCAAGGAGCATGCCCATAGATTCCTCTACTGAGCCCTGAGCCGGCTCACTGCTAGATGGTGGCAACCCCTCCTCTACTGCCAAAGGTACGACTGGGCCCGCCGCTGCTACTGGCAGTGTCGCGAGCTCGGTAGAGGCTCTGAACTCGAACGCCTCTCTCTTCGCCTGCCTCTGTGCTCTCGCCTCCTCTGATTCCAGGATAACCCTCCCCATAGGTGGCTCCTGGCGAGGCTCTGTCGCAGATGGCTGTCCTGGCAATCCCTGTCCTGGCTGCCTCTGCTCTCCCTGCCGGCTGCTCTCTGGTCTGTCCGCCTTTCCCTGGGTTTGCTGCCTTAGGCTCTCAATGATAGCTGCCTGGCTGGCCACCAAAGCCCTAAGTTCCTGAATTTCCATCTCCATAGCCTCCAGACGTACTCCATGGCTGGCTTCCTTCATTTTCTTCCCCGCCAGATCGCCTTCCAATAACAAGTGCCGGTCAAAAGTGGTCTTGGCCAGGAACTTGATTTTACGATCTAACCTTTCTTCCGCCTTCCTGGCCACCCCAAACCCGGCTCTGACTGGCGATGGAAGCTCCTCTCCTTTCTGCTCTCAGAAGTCCCTCCATATCTCAGGGATCTCTGGGGCCCTAGCTGGTGCGCTGGGTGGCTGACCCGGAAGTGCTCCTGCTGCCTCCGATCTCTGCCTCTCCTGCTGCTGCTCCGGGAGCTCCCCCGCTGCCTCCAACCTCTGCCTCTCCTGCCATATCTCATCTATCCGCCTGGTTCGTCTTGCCCTCTTTTCTTCGGCCGTCTCTCCAGATGGCACCCTTTCCCTCGTGCGGAGGTCGACCCTCTTTGGGATTTCTGCTTCCATCTCCTTCTCGGGCTGGCATGACTTCTGGCGTGGCTCTGCAGGTGCTGGCTCCTCCAGGTCTGGGTGCTCCAGGGCATGAGCTGCTAGGTGCCTATCAATCAGGATCAAAGCTTCTCTCCTTACAGCTGCCCTCTTTCTCGTCCTTTCTGCCCTCCCTTCTGGCGAAGCAGCCTTTTCTGACGAAGGAAAAGGGGTCTCCTCTCTCTGCAACCCCTCATTTGTCTGTCGGGTGCTCCCTGGTGCATCCCCGAGTCTCAAACCCACTGCTGGCGTCTGTGGGGGCGTGTCCTCTCCAACCTCTATCACTTCCTTCCCTGCACGTCTCCCCTCATCGCCCAGCCCTCTCTCTCTCTGAATACCCCGGACCTCTTCCTGTGGTACCTCCTCTCGTGGCACCTCCTTTGCCTGCTCTCCATGCCCCTCTCCCTGAAGCGACGCCCTCCACCGAGAAATATCTAAATGCATCTCCAATTCCCTCAAGGGCCCCTCCGACACTGGTGGCTCCCCCTGTGTGTGTGCTGGCGACCTCCTCAATCCACCCTCAGTAAAACGATAGAACTTCACTGGCCCCAACCCATACTTAGGATATGCCCCTCGCTCCTCATCCTCTGGCTCCTGCTCTCTCTTGGCTAGGGCCTTCCGTCCTCCTCGAGATGGTCTCGCCTCCCTGGGCTCAGGGTCCCTCGGCCTCTGACTCGTCTGCCGCCTCTCGACTCTGGGTTGAGGGAGCTCTGGCCGTCGAAAGGCTTCTCTCAAATGTGCCCTGCAGCTTTTCCAATCTCGTGTCATGTCCCTGATCTGCATAGCCAGTGGCCTTTCCGCCTTCCTGGTCCAGAGTGGTAGTGTCTGCATCCAATCATCTCTTTGTATGCCCTGCTCTTGCATGAACCACTCAAACGCGGGGATGAAGTCCGACGCATTTCCAATCTCCAGGCGGATCGGCCTGCCATCAGGTCCCACAGGCGAGGGTCGCAACTCCTCCATCCTTATCTCCACCTCCTGCCTCGTCGTCGCCTCCCTACGAATCCTGACAATGGGCTCTTCGAACCTACCTGCTCCTCCCAATCTCTCAATCGCCTGAGTGACGGTCCAGCCCATACGCCTTGCATGCTCTCAGAAACTGTCCAGGAATAGCTCGATGTCCCCATCATTGTAGACTGGAGTACTCTCTCGTTGGCGAGGCCCATGCCGCTCATATCCTCCTGATGCACCCAACGGCCTCTGAGGCGGCCGTGTCCCCTTCCCTCCTCTTGGCATGGCTGTCTTCGTAAAGTCAGACCTGCACAACAGGCGAAGGAGACAACAGGCACACGTTGGGGTAAGCAAGCAGGTAATAATCAGAGCGAGCTCAGACCTGACCACACTTATGCAGCATGCATCCTTCCTAACCTACACACCGTGTTACTTCTATTCTAGGGGCGGTCAGGTCATCTCTCTTACCTCTTCTCTCGCCACGAATTTCTTCAGTCGCGTTCCAGATACCCAATCCTTCCACTCAATCCCATTTAACTCCTCGATCTGGTACGCTCCGAAGTCTCCGACCCATGCGATTCGGTAGGGACCTAACCACCTCTTATCGAGCTTCCTGGACCACTGCTTCTCCAGCGATGTATCGTAGAGAAGCACGACATCCCTAACTGCCAAGGGTACTTTTCTCACTCGCGCGAACTGATCCCATCGAGCCTTATCATTCATACGGCTTCTCGCCACCTGATCAGATGCCTCCTGGATCTCTTCTTCTATCGCCCCAACCTGCCGCGCCCGAATATCGAGCAATTCTTCAAATGACAGGTTAACTTCCAGATCTTGGCGCCTCTATGTTTTAAGAAAGCTTTCGATAATGAAGGCGGCATGCCTTCCGTACCACAGCGTCGCAGGTGCGTACTTGGTGGATCTCTTTACTGTAACGTTCTCGACAAAGAAAGCCGCCCTTAGGTATCTTGGCCATTGATTAGGCCTACCTTCGGTCCATTTGGCCAGGAGATTCGTAATGGTACTATGTCCTCTCTCTACGGGAGCATTTGCTTGGGGGTGCGCGGTCGTGGTGTAGTTGGCTGCCACACCATATCTTGCTAACAGTTCTTGCACCTCCTGGCAGGTAAACTCTGATCCCCTGTCCATTACGAATTCCCTGACGAAGGGATAACGCAGGTAGTACTCCTCGATGCAGCTCACCAGGACTGACCCGGTCTTTGTGCGAATAGCACGCCCGTCTACAAACCCAGACAGGTTATCGCGCKCATCGAAGATATAGTTATAGCCTTGATCCCCAAGTGGCATAAAAAGTAGATCGAGATGCACTACAGCCCCCACCTCTCGCTCTAGCCTGGGATGCAGCGGCTTTCCTTGCCTTAAACGGGATCTTTCCTGGCAAGGTACGCAAGATCGGYAGAACTTTCCGACCATATCCATCATCCCATCCCAGTAGTACAACTCACTTATCTTGGCATACGTGGTTTGTACCCCTCGATGTCCTCCTGCAATACCATCGTGAAGCGCTGCTACGACGTCGATCTGGCGATTCCTACCGCAGACGACTCTCCTGGGATTCCCCATTTCCCTTCTCACGAAAAGGTGACCGTCTCCAACTAAGTAGCGCTGCAGCATCCTTTGAGCCCTATCGCTTGCATCTCTTAGCCGCATTTCACATGATAGAAGAAGCCCCAGCTCTAGGTAGATCCCGTTGTACTCCTCTGCACGAAAAGCTTCCTTAATTTCCCCTTCCTCGAACTCGTCGGTCTGGCTCTCGGGTATTTCGTCCACATTCCCTGCCGGGTTCAACGAGCTTGACTGGTCTAGGCTTTTTTGCAATAACGTATTGACGAGGAGATACATTCCTCCCATCAGGTCCTCATGTCGTTCTACCTGGTCAGGTCCTTCCTCAATCGTCCTCATATCCTCCACCAGGCTATGTGAGCTGGCTAGCGCTAATTCCATCATCCACTTAACATCCTTACCGCCCCAGGGATCCTCTTCTTTAAAGGGTTCAAGGACCAGCTCGGTCCTCCTTTCATATCCGCTCGGCGCTTGCCAAATAGGATAGCCTACACAGCTGGGCACGCGCGGCGACCACTTATTGATATGGAGACGAAYATCTTCTTCCTGATCCAGAAATCCATCAACTGGGGGCGTATTCTCCACCGCCTCCCCTTCCTGCTTATCCCAGTTGATCCGACTCAGCCCGTCTGCCCGGTTCTTACTACCAGGAATCCGTT